GGAGTCCCACAATAGGACGAAACAGCCATCCAGTGCTTTCAGGTTTTCCATGGTGATCTAGCTTCAATTGACTCATGATCTCAACTAGTAAAATTACTATAATATCCATAAAACCCGTTTTGATATTCTTTGTTGTTAAAGAGTTAAAGATAAAGGGATAATTTGATAATATCCTACATTATCATACATACTAATCTTTCATCTATTAGTGCTTGTATATTAACAAAGTAATTGACTTTCTTCACATATGCCTACTGAGAATCAGACTAGGCCTCTACCTGAGGTTTGTGCTGATAATAAAATCGTTTAGAAGAACAATAAAAGCACGACCAAACCAACCAGCTCAGAGAACAAAACTTCATCGAAATCATTTACCTGAGCTACAGATCTTCTCCATCATCTATTTCAGTGTTGTTCGTTTGAATCTTCCCATTGATATTTAGGACTACATTTGGTCAGTTTGTTATTGGTATATGTGTATCTTGTGAGGATTGCCTCGATATTGTCAAACGTTATAAACATAGTTGGATAGTGGTTAATAGAGGAATCCACGACGAGCCAGTGGCTACTACGACTCAATAGCTAAGTGGTCAACGCTTTAGCGCTTGAAGTGAACGGTACTGGAATCGAGTCCTATGGTGAACATCAAGTGCGAGATGCAAGTACATACAGACGACGAGTCCTAAAGAGGACGAAATATGCGTCCTGGATTCCACTGCTAGCCCCTATCTATCTTTGCTTATATATGATTGATAGTTGTTATTAAATTCTTAACTATTTGTACCATATATGTATGAACCAAAATTTACATTTTTTTTCTGGAAGAGCCCTTATCGAATCGTAAATTCATGAATAATATATTCATAATTATTACGCTGAAATGTCTGAGATATTTAAATAAAGGTAATGTGAATATCTACTCTCTCCCTTCCTCTTTCTTCTGGTGGTCGACTGGATTATGAAGACTTCGACATCTGAGGGAAAACATAATCGATGAACAAGGAGGTTCAGATGCAGATGTAAAGGCAAGGATTAGCAAAGCAAGGGCCGCATTCCTACAATTGAAGAACATATGCAACTCAAAACAACTTTCAACCAATATAAAAGTGAGGATCTTCAATACGAATGTCAAGGCAGTTCTACTGTACGGAGCTGAAACTTGGAGAACTACAACAACCACCATCAAGAAAGTACGAGTATTTATAAATGGTTGTCTACTCAATATACTCAACATCCATTGGCCGGATACCATCAGCAATAGCCTTCTGTGGGAGAGAACAAACTAGCTTCCAGGTGAAGAGAAAATTAGGAAGAGACGATGGAAATGGATAGGACATACATTACGCAAATCATCAAACTACATCACGAGGCAAGCCCTAACATGGAATCCTGAAGGGAAACAGAAAAGAGAAAGGCCAAAGAACATGTTACGTCGAGAAATAGAATCAGATATGAAAAGGATGAGTAATAACTGGGAAGAGCTGGAAAGGACTGTTCAGGACAGGTTTGGATGGAGATTGTTGGTGAGCGGCCTATGCTCCTTCACGAGGAGTAACAGGCGTAAGTAAGTAAGTAAATACAATAGGTGTACATAACAGATGACTGCATGTAAACAAACTATTTCTCAAAAACACCATCGTAAAAGTTATCTTATGCGATAGTCCATTAGACTGCCTACATATCATAGAAGAATATAGAAAAAATCATAAATCTAATCTAAAATTATTGTTTATATTCCAGAGTTTTTTTTGACTTTGTGTATGTTCTCGTTTATGTAGAACAAACTGGTTTCAGAGTTTATCATTTTATGTGAAATGTAGAGTTTGTTTAGAATGAATGAATGAATGAATGAATGAAATAACAAACATATTCAAGCAAAAAGAAGGAAAACAATATTATAAAATCTTTACTGAATAAATCAATGATATTTATGTAAAACACCCGAATACTAGAAGTTTAATTAGTGAAAATGAACAGTAACAAAACTTAATAGTTGAATTCATGAGTCAATTGGAGCTAAACAACCATGGAAAACCTGGAAGCACTAGATGATTGTTTCATCCCATATGGAGTTTTGCAGTAACACTACGCATCCATGATCCCGCCCCCACGGGATTCGAACCGACAACCTATCAGTCTCACTCACGAGCACTTAACCTGTTGAATAAAACTGACAAATAATTCAATGGAACTATTCGAACACTTTCTACAATATTTAATTATTTCTAAGGCATAACAATATAATAGGACAAAACGTCCGTCCAATGCTTCCAGGTATTTTATAGTGGTCTAGCTTCAATTGACTTATGAATTCAAATATAAAATTACTAATATCTCCACAAAACTCACCTTCTGATAACAATATAATTAACAATCAGAGTGTTGCATCTCTCAGTCAAATACTACCATAGTCAATATGTCTGATGAAACCAAATGCGGAGTGATGATTGAATAGTGTTTTTTTTCAAGATAGGCGTTGTTGACTACTTCATGGTTAAATATTTATTACTACCGATGTGGTGTAAGCCTTTTATATCCACATAAGTAGTATATAACGATAGTCAAGAATAGGATGTATTTCAGCAGAAGGTCAAAAAGGAAACAACGGAAACAGAAAGCAATCGGTATGAAAATGCACGAATAATGAAATCTAAGACGATTGACTGATATTTGCAAAAGAAACAGTGAAATTTGAGACAATGGATTGATATTTTGCAAATTAAGTAATTACTGTCTGATTCTCAGACTTTATCAAGAGATTCTGTTATGTTGAGATTCGAAACATTCGATTGTTTCAACTTGAGTTCTTGTTCACTACATTGGTTATTTCTACCAATGTGCTGAAAAAGAAATAATGATTTTTATACGTGGTACTTTATTAACTGCAGGGTTTTAAATTCAATATTGTTGTATTCTTGAAACATCTTAATACCTAAAGTAACTATTGTGTTTTATCATGATTTTCACTATTTCAAAGTTCAAAGCGTGTTTGAAAATATTGTATCAGTCAAAGCCATATTTCAGTCAATGTCTAAAATGAAATAGATTGTATGACTAACTAACTAGCTTAATTATTTACTTACGGCTATTACTCCCATCAAACGGCATTCTCCAACCCACTCTGTCCTGGGCCTTCTTTTTTAGTTCGATCCAATTCTTGTCCATTCTTCTCATGTCTGTCTATATTTCTCAACGTAATGTGTTCTTTCGTCTTTCTCTTTTCCTCTGACCTTGAGGATTCCAAGTAAGGGCTTGCCTTGTGACGCACTTGGGTGTTTTCTTCAATGTGTGTCCTATCCACTTCCAGCGATTCTTCCTGATTTCTTCCTCCGCTGAAATCTGGTTTGTTCACTCTCACTGTAGCCTGTTGCTGAAAGTGTCTGGTCAATGGATCCGAAGTATTTTCGTAGACAACTGTTAATAATCACTTGTATCTTCTGAATGATGTCTTTTGTAGATCTCCAAGATTCCGCCTCATACAGTAGAATTGTCTTGATATTTGTATTGAAAATTCTAACTTTAGTGTTGGCTTACTGATAGTTGTTTTGAGTTCCAGATATTCTTCAATTGTAGAAATGCTGCTCTTGCTTTGGTGATCGGCGCCTCCACATCTGCATCAGATCCACCGTGTTCATCGATGATGTAAATATATATATATAATAGGCAAAAAGCACAAATTGATAGTAAGTGTACAGGTGTACGAGTAGTCATATGAATAATGAAATAACAAAAGAAATATATAACCTGTAGTTCAGCATAGGAATTAGATCACACTTGGGTAAATAGATATTAAAATAATAATTCGATTAATTATCGAGATTGACTAATTTTTACTGCGACTATGACCTGTTTTGTTTGGTGGAGTTTCGTCCTTTGAGTTTTATGGTTTAATTATGGAACTTTCATTGTTCTTTTGAATAACATCGTCAGTACAAACTTCGGATAGAAATGACATATTCAAATTACTCCAATTTACACTAAATGGTCTAATATTGAGTTGTTTATTATCTTGACTACATCTTTGGTTAATCACTCTCTGACAGTTGTTCAAGAGTTTTGAAATGTGAATTCTTAGAATTTCGGTCATTATAACTCATTCAACAAAAGCAGTCTAATTGATAATTGTAAAATTCTGATTAGGACAACATTTGTTACTTAGAGGATTGCTCTGTCTACATAAGTAAACCAATAATGATATTCGGATACTATATCACAGTAATTGAAGTTTGGCAATGTATACAATAATAAAAATACACAAAAGAGCATACTTTAAATTCAGATTTGCAAGTATCCCATAGTATTATTGCTATTAAGTAATATGAAGTACTTTGTTAAGAAGTAATACATCACTGATAATCTCTTCAAAACGACCTATAATTAGTGATTAGTTATATTGTACAAACATCAATGAACACGACTGTGAACATTAAATACATTTATGGTGCCAGAAGATACAATTGTTTATTAACAGTTATCTACTCAAAATACTTCGGATCCGTTAGTCAGACACTATCAACAACAACCTACTGTGGGAGAGAACAAACCAGATCCCAGCGGAGGGAGAAGTCAGGAAGATGCGCTGGAAGTGGATAGGACACACATTGAGGAAAACACCAAATTGCGTTACTAGGCAATCCCTCACTAGGAATCCTCAAGGTCAAAAGAGAAAAGGAAGAATGAAGAACACATTACGCTGATAAATGAAAATAGACATGTGAAAAATGAACAATAACTGCATTAGAACTAGAAAAGAAGGCTTAGTACAGAGTGGGTTGGAGGATAATGGTCGGCGGCTTATGCTCCTTGACGAGGGATAACAGGCATAAGTAAGTAAGTAAGTCATATATATGTGTGTATAATGATATGCATTGCAATGATATATTCAGCACTGTCAATAACGTTAACGTACACAGTTGACTGTTCCAAGTCGAAATAATTCTTTTTTTTAAAAAAACAAAACAAGTAATTTATTTTCTTTACAAAATCTCTATTATTTAAAGGCAACTAAACGACCAATTAATCAGAGAGAATTTGGATCTGGAACATCATTATAAATCAATATGTATGAGAACACAATGATTTCTATCAACTATCCAATATTTTATATGCATATTATATGCACAATAAAAATATACTATAATTTCATCTATTGTATGAACCAGTAAATGCTCAAAGGTATGTATCATAAGTGAGTTAAGATATTCATAAAGTAATCTAGACGGCAATTGTTTAAAATATTGATACTTTTGCCTGATGTATATTATGCTGTAGTGTTGGTTACTATGTTAAGCCCACATAATGTATTCTAACGTCGTGACAATCTATCCATACTACCTGTGTCATATTTTAACCTTGTTAATTATTCACTTATCAACCTTTACTATTCTTATATGAGCACATATGTGTGTGCACATCGTATTCTATTCATCATATGTTTGTAATTTATTTTGATCCAGCTATAAATATTGAATAACGCTTGATTAAATGGAGTTGGCTCACGCGCCTTCTCCATTGCTCGTCATTTTGCTTCACTCTCACTTCTCCTTTACCTTCGCAACGTCCTTTTGTTTGTCTGTCCAGATTAATGATTGTACAAAATATACGTATTCAGAAATTCATTCTCGTATTCGACTTATTTGATTTCATTGTTCCCTAACGCGAGTTAAGTCGATAATTATATACGAGGATAGGCGACATACATAATTCGACAGCAAACATTCGTATGATGTAATTAGAGTCAGATCTCGGGCCACTAAACTGCATTTTGATCCCTTTCTAGAAATTGATAGATCATTATATTGTTAATTGAGTATTTAAGTGATAGTTTAACAAAATGTTAATAAGAAGTTTTTCTATATTCCATTGCATATAAAGTGCATACTATACAGTAATGATTCACTGTTAAAGACCAAAGTTAAGCAAATATACAACACTTTTCTTTTTCAACAGGCCTCCAGCTAGTTGCTATAAAGGAGGGAAACTATACTCGAATAGGTAAAGTTTATTTTCCTGATATTGAGTAACATTTCAAGATGTTTTATTACTATAATGTTTAATTAGTGAGCCATAAGTTTGAGTTGATTTTAAAGTTTAAGATGGTGGTTGGAGGTAGTCAACAGGAAACCCTGAACATAGGTTTCGTGCTAATGGGCACTCCTCAGCGGAGGAACAAATCAGGAAGAAGCGCTGTAAGTGGGTAGGACACACATTGAGGAAAGCACCCAACTGCGTCACAAGGCAAGCCCTCACATGGAATCCTCAAGGCCAAAGGTAAAGAGGAAGACCAAAAAACACATTACGTCGAGTAATGAAGACAGACATGAGAAAAATGAACAAGAATTGGATCGAACTAGAAAAGAAGGCCCAGGACAGTGTGGGTTGGAGAATGCTGATCTGCCGCTTATGCTCCATTGGGAGTAACAGGCGTAAGTAAGTAAGTAAGTAAGCTGCTCCCTGACAGATTCGATCCCGTGTCTCCTGCAGGACTGAGATGTGTTTACAATTGATTGATCACTGGGTGGTAGTCAATGTCATGTCTGTCAGGACCTTTTTAGTGCAGATCAAATCCTAAATTGTTTTTTAAATGAATAAGATAAGCGTAATTAAACAATGATAACTTTACAATTAATAAATCAGCATAGATGAAATTGAATACAACATATGTAAGCAAAGTTATCAACCAGCTAAGTATTTATTTAAGAAATATTTTAAAACTTGGAAGCTTTGGATGACCGTTTCTGTTCTATTACGAAACTCCTCAACTTTCTTCATTTTAATATCTTCGTGAAAGTATTGATAATAATGATATCTAAGTAGTATATGTTTATGTATTCAACTTTTAGTTACAAGTTTTGTATAAGAAGTAGTAATTGTAGTCAGTTGCTTGAACTTAAGTAAAAGAAGCGTCTTCTCAACCTACATGGTTACTGATTCGAAAGTGACTTGTTTCAAAATTGTGGATTCATGAAATAATCTGTTTAATTACATAATAAGATCTAGCCTCATAAAATAGGTGTTTTTTCTGGCGAATTCTCTGTTTCAGTGAACGTAAATAGCTACCGACAATTCATGAGTCAGTTGAAGCTGGACCATCATGGAAAATTTAATACCACTGGTTGGGTTTTTCGTCCCAGTATGGGACTCCTCAACAGTGTGCATCCACGATTCGAACTCAGAACGTATCGGCCTCCTGCACGAACACTCAACCTCTAGACCACTGAGCCAGTATCCAACTGTGTTAATGCTTAACTTCAACCAATCCAAAAAATTGCACCACTGTCCATTATTGTCATCAGTCAGTTACTATTTTCTAACAGACCCGGTCAAACTCCACTGCTGCATACTGCTGAGAAAGCCCATACTAAAAAGGAAACCGCCATCCAGTTGCCTCCAGGTTTTCCATGTTGGTCTAACTTCGATTGAATGATGAATTCAACTATTGAAATTACTATATAATAACTACAAAACCCCTCTCTGTTCAAAATAAAAGTGATTTTATCACTATATATGATTCTAAGAATAAATTTTATTTACATTATTTATAATTCTATTTTAATTAAGATCATGAGTCAGTTGAAGCTAAACCACCATGGAAAATCTGGAAGCACTGACGGTCTAGCTTCAATTGACTCATGATCTTGAACATTGAAATTACTACAATCTCCACAAAACCCATCTGATATTAATCAAAATATGCTCACTAGTGACTGGCTTCACGAGGTATATCCTGGAGTTCTAGTGAGAAGTAGTGACCAGTGGAGTTCAAACAAGTCTGTTGTGAGATAGTAACTCACTAAAGACATTGGTGAATGTGTCGCTCAATTTCGTGGATTAGTTGAAGTTAGACATTAACACCCTTGGATGCCGGCTCAGTGGTCTAGTGTTTAAGTGCTCGTGCACTAAACCAGTAGGTCCTGAGTTCGAACCCCGCATCGGGGCGATGTCGTGGGTGTGCGCTGCTGAGGGGTTCCGCATCAGGACGTCCAGTGGTGGTCTAGCTCCAACTATCTTATGATCTTAACCATTGAAATTACTACAATCTCCACAAAACCCATCTGAGATTAATTCTATTTTATTTATTTATTTTCTTTTTTTAGTGCTAGAAACTAGTCAAGTCAGTTGGAGACATGAAACCAATTCCAAAGATCTGTACTAAAAGATCCAACTTGTCTGACAGTTTTCCTCTCTTTTTTTGTATTGTCTTATTTTGCATTGGTTTGCACATAATTCCTTATTTTCTTTTTCACTTGTACTCATACACACATATATACACACACACACACACTTTCTTAGTCATAAGGTGTACACTAATGCATAGTTGAGTTCTTGTATACAAACTTAGATACTTATATATTTATATATAAAAGTATTTACTTAAACTTATTTTCAAATCCCTTTATGCATTGAGATGATTATGACATGTACACAAATCTTTTTATTTCATTTATGAATATATATGATATATTGTAGTAGATTAAAGTGTTTAACCCATCCTTTTATTCTCCTAGATACTATAAGCATGATTTTAATTCAAAATTTCCCCGTGTTACTGATGAGGATTAATGATCAACAAGAAGATGAATGAAATTTAAGAAACAAACAACGATAAGAATAGTTTACGTTGTATGAAAAAGTATTTATTTAAACACATAAACATTGGCACAAAGAGGCACCAACTAGATATGTGCCATACAGATCTCATTTGATATGTGTGAGGGCTGGGGTACTGTCCGGGTGCCCAGATCGAAGCAGGTGGTTTACTTAGGGGACCACACCCGGAGCCTCGGACCTAAAGGTCTGACCCATTAGGCAGTGGAGCATCGTGAGGAAATGCAGTCTCATGGTAGCCGGTGACCAACGATTGGTTCATGTGCACCATTGGTTTGGAATCCGGTTAAAGCACCGGACATTCGCTTTTCGTCCTCTCAATTTCGTAAGCAACAGTAGTGCCAGTAGAAGGCAGTGAGTAGGACTTCCCTGGCAGAGGCTATATACGCGTGGCCATGTGAGAGCATTTCGAGAGGGAGGGCGGGTCCACCCGACTCTCGGCCATACCAGGGCATTGAAAATGTTCACTAGAATTTAGAAAGTTCCAGTTTTATTTTTAACAAGAGCAATTTGTTTATCACAGGTTTGATTGGTTACATTTAGAGCCTTAGATACACATTTCTATTTCATATTGAAGTAATAGTAATGTCTATTTTACAATGATAGTTGTAACAATAATAATTAATAGGTGTGATACAATGTTACTTATAGATCAACAAACTTTGATGGCTTTGCTTCGTTAAACGATCACCTCGATAACCGTTATAATATCAATTCTCAACAGTGTTTAAAATCAGAAGGCAAAAGAGAAGTGGCAACTATAGTTTATTAGCGGATAGCACAAATCACAAAGCTATAAGCACATCGAGGATATTTGAAGCGGATAGGCTAATAAGTATATGCGAACAATTATATAGGCAAATGTAAGGACTAATAGTAGGATTTGAGTACATATATAAATGAGGAGAAGGATGAATTACAGAGTGATATTTAAGCAATCAATAATTAAGCTCAAGTCTGTTATGTGATCTAATGATCATGACGGTACAAAGAACTATGCGAATTGTTAGTGTTGGAATAACACATTATCTATTAAGTAACTTAACTAAAAGGGATCAACCATAATCAAAATTAATTCTAGGATAGTTGCTATAAGCCTTAATTTGTTTATATACTTTTAGAATCCATTTAGTCAATGATAAGGAAGTCTATACATTCAATTATCTTAATAGTAATAATAATAATTATTACCGAAATCATAAATTAACTAACTATTATGAATAGAAAACTAAATAAACATCATAGTAGAAATGCAAAATTGATTGAATGAATTGTACTTTCATTGTGAAATATGCCAATTGGGTCTATTACACTTTTGGCTTAAATAGATATATATATATATACAAACATTGAAGATTTCAGTCATTCTCCTGACTTTGTATATTTTGCTATTTTTTTACTTGTCTATATTGAAACCACAGTGAAAGACAAAATAGCGGTTAAAGTTAAATAGTTTACAATTGAATTGAATTGGTAATATTATCAATGAATGATAGAAATAACATTTCTAAATGGTAAATAATATTTAAGGAAAGGAATTTTCAAATATACAACAGATAAACACAGTTTATATGACTAATTAATCATGTAATTTATAAGTAAAAATTAATTTTAACAGTTTCGATCATAAAGAGAGTTACATAAATAAACATTATCAGTATTATGTTGTAGAAGTTAAGAAGTTTTGATTGAGATCATAAACCGATTAATGTTAGATCACTATTGCCCCCGAGAGTGGGGAGAGTAAACTCTCCTTCTCGGAATGCTCTCACATGGACACGTGTATATAGCCTCTGCCAGGGAAGTCCTACTCACTGCCTTATCATTGACGGGGTGTTGTGTACGAAATTGTGACGACGAAAAGTGAATGTCCGGCGCTTTACCCGGATTCCAAACCAATGGTTCACATGGGTTCCGGTATATTGGGGGAACAAATGGTGTATGAACCAGTTATTGGTCACCGCCTACCAAGGGACTGTATCTCCTTACGATGCTCCACTGCCTTGTAGGTCAGACCTTGAGGTCCAAGACTCGGAATGTGGCTCCCTAAGAAAACCACCTGTTTTGGTTTGGGCACCCGGGCAGTATCGCAGCCCTCACGCATATCAAATGAGGTCTGTGTGGCGCATGTCTTTTGGTGCCTACTTGTATCAATATCTATGTGTTAAAATAAAAATAAATAAATAAAAATCACTATTAAAAACCAAGAAAGGTTTCGAACCCAAGGCGCGCGAGACCGAAGGCTCTGGTTTCGAATCCTAAGAGCAGGATCGTGCATCCTTATTGCGGAGGAGTCCCAAAATAGGATGAAATAACCATCCAGTACTTACAGTTTATCAGTGGTGGTCTAACATCAATCAGTTTATGATTTCAATCTAAAGATGAACATAAATCAGTAAGCTCTTATTATAGATGAATGTTGTGACAAAAATATCTAGTTTCATCAATTGTTGACTGATTTTTTTCTAGAAAAAGTAACGTTTAGTCAACCAGCTATAAAACTGGCAATCATAGAGTAGTTAAAGGATTTCAAGTGTATGATTATAAGACCTGCTCATAGAATTCTTTCTAAGGATGAAATCTGTTTACAAAACAGTATTGTGAAACAAATTGAAAATCAACAGTAAACAAATAGATTGTAGGTAGCGGTGGAATCAAAGACTCGTGTTTTTTGTTCTATTTAGGACTCTTCCGATAGATGTACCTACATCCTTGAGTTATTTGAAATAGGATTAAAATCTAATCCGTATCGCTTCATCTTTTAGTACGTTGTCTAATGAATTATTGAATTCAAGTAATAACTGGTTTGTTCAACGAGCATGTAGTTTAGATTCAGTTGGTGGTGTGAGGTAGTCATCAGGAGACCATGGACCTGAGTTTCATGTTACTTATTATTTGTCAGAAAGGTGAACTTGTATTCTTGAGGGAACTGATACTCCCTAATGGATTCGATCACGTGTTACCCAACTTCATTACTAATAAGAAAATCATAATTAGTAAATTTTACACAACTTGATCTCTTGATACAATTGAACAACGCAAAATAACCAATACAGAAAGAATAAAAAAATTTCATCAATCTATTCAAAGGATTCCTGTCGATGGTAAACAGTCTGAACATACTAAGAGTAATGTAGTTATGAACAAAAGTTTGATCTACTTTACTTACTCAAGTTAAGAATGATATTCGAAACGTAACTGAATGTCGTGATCATTATTTATATGTTTTAAAACTAATTATGCAAAGTAATGAGGGTAAGGTTGTGATTGCTGGTAATCAAAACGGAAAGCAAAATTAAGTAATTGTAGTGAATTTAATAAACTCTTGAATTGGTGGAGAAGATTTGTAGCTTAAATGGATGATTTTGATGAAGTTTTGTTCTCTGAGCTGAATGGTTTGGTCGTGGAGCTTTCATCGTACTTCTGATCGACATCATCAGCATAAACTTCAGATTGAAGTGAAATGTTCGACTTTCTTTGCATATGCCTACCGTGAATCAGATCAGACTTCTACGTGAAATTAGTGCTGATGACTCTTGACTTATGTCCAGTCTATTTATTAGAGTCTCCCATATTCACAGCCACTTTTGACTAGATTTTGTACAAATGTTATTTTCTATTTTATGGTGTGATGTGATCTGTTTGATTTGCATATAATAAACCCAGTATGTTTGAAATATATGATTAATATCATGGAGGCTGAGATTGGTGTTCTGGACTCAACAGGTAGGTATAGTCAGGAAGAAGGATTGATGAGGAATCTCTACTGCTCATACGTGTTTATGTGTCATTGGTCCGGTTTATAAGTCACTGCTCTTTAATTGGCGCTATCATTACGTAATATATTAATGGGGAACAAGCTACAGGTTATAACACAAACGAACATAATTTCAGAGAATAATACATACAATAGCTGCTAAACAGTAAAGAAGGAAAATGGGTGAGACTATAATAATTTATAGACGAACCAGTCAGATTTAGGACAACAGGTTTTGGATTTTGGCGCGAAATTCATTCATCTATTTGGCTAAATAGAGTTTTGGCATTGTAGCTGATGTCGGTTCGTGATGAAAACCCTAAATCAAATTCTTGACCCCGACCATCAACTGTAAATCATAATTCTAATCATTCATACTGGTTTATAACCCTCGTTTAGTTATAGTTAGTAGATGAACATTCCAAAGGTCACTTTGGCGTCGCTCAAAGGCCGTGCATAAAATATAGTCTTACCGGAACATGAAATAACGGGTGAAAAATAGTTTTATACTTTGAATAAAATTGTAAATGATTAACAGTTCTTTACAACTGGTAACCAACATAAATGCCATTCCGAAAACATTTTGACATTCCAATTGCTACTGACTATTTTTAAGTAGCATAATGCTCTAGCAAAAAAACACTTATTGACGACAAATGGATGACGGATTCATTACTTATACACACACTTAGTATTGGATAAAACCATTCTTGCCATTATTTTCTTATAGAAAGACATTCAATCCTTTAAAGTATATAGTTTTGGCATCAATGTTCCATCGAAAATTCCCTTTAGTTACATTTTGATATTACGTTAGTTGAAAGAATATCACGAGACTAGACAACAGATAATCAAACCAGTACATAGATACAAAATTCGGACTAACGATTATAAAGACCGAATAATGTTTTCACTCAAAGTGAAAACAGTTCATACGGAATGAAATTGGAAACGATGTTTCGTATAAGCCAGTTTCATCATAATATAGTGATCTAGATTATTAACCATAGAATAGGTATATGTTTATCCTTGATCAGTGACCAGTCATGGCTTGGTATGAATAACGATTTCAACTACTCTACGCAAAATAATCCCGATTCGTTGGTCAGACACT